CGACTGACTGTAGAGAGATCTAGTAGACTGTTGTTTTGTTTGGTTTGAATATATACAAACATATATCTCAGTCACTCCACTACAAAGTACGACTGATTGTAGGGAGATCTAGTAGACTGTTGTTTTGTTTGGCTTCAATACATACAAACATATATTCCACTCCACTCCACTACAAAGTACGACTGATTGTAGGTAGATCTAATAGACTGTTGTTTTGTTTGATTTGAATATATACAAACATATATTCCACTCCACTACAAAGTACGACTGATTGTAGGGAGTCTACTATACTGTTGTTTTGCTTTTGGTTTTTGTTATTGCTTAGTTCTAAAACCCAACGACAGGCGGGAAAATAAATTTTAATTAATACCCAATCACCTTGATGTAAGTTAGACTGTATGTATTAATTAGAAACAAACCATAAAGTACAAAACTGTATCTTTAAAAACGTATATTCATATATGATCGCTTAATGGGGCTCAAGTTACACTTACAACTCTTACACTTTTATCTGAGCTCACTTTTAACTGTTAACAGACGTTATTATCCTACAGGAAAAAGCTGTGCTTAGCTCTGGACAACCCAATAGTAAATATAGCAAAAACAACTATTGGAAGTTATTTCACAGCCTTTATATCTTTCACCATTTTGTGACATGTACGTCTCGTGGCTTCTAAGTAATATATATTTGTAACGAACATATATTTTTGACTAACGTGTACTAAATACTATCATATATTTTTAACTAATTCATAGTATAACTAAGATATTTCTAAGTAACGGGTATTTTCAAGTAACATATATTTGTGACTTTGAAATAGAATAGAATATATTTCAAACCAGATAATCTGTAATTTACTATTAATCTTTAACTGCCATCTGACAATGTAAAGTTATTTCTAGATGCTAATATTGAATATGTGTTTCTGATATTTGAATAAACGCCGTTGTTTTCATTAGTTCAAAAATAGAACTGTTTCGATTTTTTTCCCTCGGGATTAGGGAGTTTACAACAGAGTCAGTAATTAACTTTCGATGTGTAAAGAGTAATGCCCAGAATAAATACAAAGATGGAAAGCCAAATGACTTCAGTTGAGATAGGTATGGGTAAAGGAATCACATACTGTGGTTTAGTTTCGTTTGTTGTTGAACTAATCTACGTAGCAACGCACTTGCACGCACATTACACACATGTATGATGTCATGTAGAAAACACTGCTCGTGCTACCAATCCATTGGACTCTTCACTTACACATTAAAAAATCCGGCACATGCTCTTTCAGAAAGAACGTAGCACTGAACTAGCGGCAGCGATTTCTATACATGTATTAATAATTCATTTTGATATATCATATGGTTGTATAAATAACGTTGATGAACACATTATACACACACACACACACACGCATACATATATGTATATATAGAGAGACTAGTTTTAATTAATATATTTACAAAAGTTATTCGTACAAATAAAGTCTTAGCTTGACTTTCATTACAAAACATAGACGTTCTTCTTATTTAACTGGACCGAACGTGTCCTAGTATTTATGCTGCGGATCAGGAGATCCAAGGTTCGAGCCGCGATTATCCCACTGAATACGATTCACACTTTAACAGTGTGGGAGTTATAGTTGTAACACTTAGTCCCGTTATGCTTTAAAGTGTAGCCGCGTAGGCGGTAGATGCTGCTGATTGATTGTTCTCTCCATGTCAGCAATTATAAACCAGGAATTGTTATGCCTTAACACCCTAGAGCAGTAGTTCCTAACCATTTTTGCTCCATGCCCCACCTCGACACCTCAAAAAATTTGATGCCGCCTTAATATAAAAACAAATTTGGTGTTGAAAAGGTATAATAATATAATGTAAAATTTAGAAATTTAGTTTTGAGTCACGGAAC